TTGTAGCTATAATTAATCACTAAATTGATGGTTTCATAATGGTAAATTACGTATTATGAACCTATCAATTTAGTTCTTGATCATTAACTAGAAAAATTTTTACATTATCATCATCAGATTAAGTTAATCACAAGTCTTCATTCAAAAAATAAAAAAGTGGGTTTATCAATTATATATATATAGATTGACATTGTGTCAAAATTAATTGTGGACTAAATAATTTACGCTGTAAAATATTTATCAATAAATATTTTAAAATCTGCTAAAGAACATAAAATGTCTGTTGATGAACGATGATCTTGCGTCAATGCTTTCGTTGAACTGGAAGAATACGAATGATTCTTCTGAAAGAATACGAATGATTAAAGATTACGGTTGGTTAGAGAAATAGTGTTCCGACGTTACTAATCCCTTTGCGTTTATTTAAAATAGGACTGAGATCGTAATGAGTACGTAATGAGGACGAATCAAGAGTTTCAGAAACTCTTCGTTGAAGGATCTGATCGAGACTCGGAGGTTCACCATCTGACGAGATCGGCTTTCATTTGACTATGGTTAACCAACATTAAAGCGTTTCGCATAAACTCATGCTATCGATCGGTTTATAGTCATTTTCACCCGCTTATAAATTACGTCACTGACAAGGAAACAAAACATTTGGAAGATTGGGGAAATATACATATACAAAATGACTGTGTGTACTTACCACAAGATTTAAAAGATTCAAGACACAAGACAAAAGATTTAGAAGATTCAGTATTCTTTCGATATGCTGAAAAATTTAATAAGATAGATGTAGTAATTATGTTAATTGCAGAAAGATAAATATAATTAATAATATAAATTAATTAAAAAATTAAAACATACATGCATATGTAATTAAAATAATTTAGGTTAATGAAATATACGAGTAAAAAGAATATAAAAATATTAAGTTCATCATATCATATCATTGCGCATTTCAACACTTGAGAATTTGTTTAAATAAATGGAAACATAAAGCATATATTGGATGAACGAGCTTAGAGGTGAAAAATAGAAGGAACAAGAAAATCACGGAAAGAAGATGGGCGACAAAGACGCGAGATATAACGAAGTGCCGTACTTAAAAATAAACATCGGAAGGTTTTAAAGTCAAAATCCGGATATTGCAGCGAGAAATCCGGAAGGAACAACTTCGCAGCGTGAAAGAAAGAGAAAACGCAAAGATAGCGACAAAGACAGAGGGACTGTTAACTAACCGTCGTTCCCGGGTATCATCCATTGCACAAAAAAGTCATAAAGCACATTGGCCGGTCAATCCTCGATCAATTCATTTCGATCAATCCTCGAGAAGGCTGCCTAGAAAATATTCACATCGATCTACCAGTTAACCTCTCTCTCTCTCGCTCTCTCTCTCTCTCTCTCTCTCTCTCTCTCTCTCTCTCTCTCTCTCTCTCCCGTCCCCCTCTCTCTATAATAATAATAAATAAATAAATAACTTGATGAGAGTTGTTTATGGTAATTGTGAAATTAGATTATTCGCAGATGATGCATTAATATATACAAGAGGCCATACAAACCAAGAAATAAATGATAATCTTAATATACAGATGCAAAAAATTGAGGAATGATTGAAAAATAATAGACTGAAGTTAAATGTGAATAAAACCAAAGTTATGCTAGTTAGAGGTTAGAAAAAAATATCGGAAAGCAATATAAAAGTAAAACTAGAAAATACAGCATTAGAAGTGATTAGTAAAATTAAATACTTAGGTGTCATTATAAATAGAAATTTAAATTTTGCAGCACATGTTAATCTATCTGAGGAAAAATCGAAATTGGGAGCATTTCGTCGAATTATGAATTTGACACCATACATGAGTGTTGCATACAAGCGATACAGTACAAGCATACAGTACAATGCTCTGTTGTTTGAATATTGTTCGTCTATATTACTGAATTTAAACGATTATAATGTGCAGTATTTACAGAAATTACAAAATAAGGGAATAAGAATTATATTACGATGCAATTACAGAAAGAATTGAAGACATGCTTGAGACATTGCATCAATTAAGGAAAGAATTGAATACAATGTTTGTATTTTGATACATAAAATGATAAATGGAGATTGTCCGAGTTATTTAAAAAATGAGACAGAGGAAATAAGAAGAAAGGAAGGAATACAAATAAGATCAGAGGGAATATATACATTAAAAGATGTAAAACTAGAGAGAAACAGAGAATGTTGTTATATAATGTTTAAAATGTACAACAATTTACCTAATGAAATAAGAAAGGAAAAAGGATTAAGAAACTTTAAGAGAGCACTAGTGCCATATATGAGGAGTGAAGAAGGATAGTGTAATGTAGATGTATAGGATGTTTAAATCTGGCTTTGGCTAATTAATAAATAGGCATTATATTAGATTATATTACACATTGTAGCCATTAAAGCTAATAAAAATCAATCAATCTCTCCCCTCCCTCTCTATTTCTCCCCGATAATACGTATACGCGCGCATACACATTACATACATTGTGCACATACACGCACCCGTAACGGGACAAATTCGTCGCTGCACCGCGATGCAATAATAGATACTCTCTATATACGAAGCGCTTCAAAGTGCTCTTTCAAAGGCAAGCACAGAGGCCAGGTCAATCGCTTCGCTCTTCGGCGCCACAAAAAGATATATAAAACAGACTGATCACTCGTTCGTTCATCGGAACATGAACTATAAATACCTAGGTATTGTATATTGATGTAATCGACATTTTTCGGTATTATAAATAAATTCCCGACATGCGCGCACGCGTACGCGTAATCTCGGCCCGATTTATCCTGACGAGCTATTATCGGAGGATATAAAAGGGTAGCAGACAGCTGATAGAAGAGATTTTCGGGGATAATTCCTGCCTATCGGGATCATCGCGTGTAATTCTGCATAATTCTTCTGACAGATGCGAATCTCTGATTCAACTTCTCACAATAGTCTCGTTGTGTGCGTGCGTGCGTGCGTGCGTGCGTGTGTGCGTGCGTGTGTGCGTGTGTGTGTGTGTGTGCGTGTGTGCGTGTGTGTGTGTGTGTGTGTGTGTGTGGGATGTGTGTGTGTGCGTGCGTGCGTGCGTGCGTGTGTGTGTGTATGTGTGTGTGTGTGTGTGTGTGTGTGTGTGTG